GGCTAATGAGGATTTCAAAGAGAATATGGCCATAGTTGAGAGACGCAACAACCTGCTTCAAGCTGAACTGGAGGAACTGAGAGCTGCTCTGGAACAAACTGAACGGAGCCGTAAACTGGCTGAGCAAGAGCTGCTGGATGTTAGCGAGAGGGTGCAGCTACTGCATTCACAGGTGGGGTTGCATCTAAAAGGTCACAATATTTCCAATATAAAGTAATGCAGTTCTTACATTCTACAATATCCTATTTTAAAATGGTCCAGAATACCAGCCTGATAAACCAGAAGAAGAAGCTGGAGGGTGACACGGTCCACCTTCAGACTGAAGTGGAGGAGGCTGTTCAGGAATGCAGAAATGCTGAAGAGAAGGCCAAGAAAGCCATCACTGATGCCGCCATGATGGCAGAGGAGCTGAAGAAAGAGCAGGACACCAGCGCTCACCTGGAGCGTATGAAGAAGAACATGGAGCAAACCATCAAAGATCTGCAGCACCGTCTGGATGAGGCGGAGCAGATCGCCATGAAGGGAGGCAAGAAGCAGGTCCAGAAGCTGGAGGCCAGGGTGAGTGTAATCAGTTCCCTTTTTACATTAATATTAGGTTAACAGAAAGATGTACATATATTTACTTCATCTTCTTTGATCTTTATGCAACTGGGATAATAAAGGCTTTATGTTATAATGTTTACAGGTGAGGGAGCTTGAGAATGAAGTGGAGTCAGAGCAGAAGAAGAGTGGAGAAGCAGTAAAGGGAATGCGCAAATATGAAAGACGCATCAAGGAGCTCACATATCAGGTGATTTTTAAATCCAAAAAACATTTATACAACTAATAGGCATCAATCTCTACCAAATATTTTTCACATGTACTATAAGCTTTCTGCAGCACATACTGTATAAGACTGAACAGCAGATTCATAAACCACATTGTCTTTTCCTGTTCTTGCAGACTGAGGAGGACAGAAAGAATGTTGCACGCCTGCAGGATCTGGTTGACAAGCTGCAGCTCAAAGTGAAGGCATATAAGAGAGCTGCTGAGGAAGCTGTAAGTGTATGATTTCTCTGAGATGAGAAGGACTTTTGTTTTCTTGATGCCATTTCTTTCTCTGTTCTCTGAAAAGCATTAACTGATGGGCTTCAAGCACTTGTTGGACTCCAAAGACTCAAAGCCACTTGTATATTTTGAATACTACTGTCACTCTAAAAGCTATTCAGAGGCACTCTAAAAAATGCTTGTAACCTGTATTCATCTTATGATTATGTTAGTGAAGATAACCCATGCTGGTCTAATTGAGCTTGTTTTATCCTGCAGGAGGAGCAAGCAAACACTCATATGAGTAAATTCCGCAAGTTGCAACATGAGCTTGATGAGGCCGAAGAGAGAGCTGACATTGCTGAGTCTCAGGTCAACAAGCTTCGTGCCAAGAGCCGCGATGTGGGGTCAAAGGTCAGAGACTCCTCCAGATTTGAACACGAAAAATGATTTAAAGTACCGCTGCCTCCTTCTACTAAAAATGTACTTTTTATTTGGTTCTTCTAAATGCTATTTCTAGCTGATTGAATTTCAAACAAAGTATTAAGTACATGTATGGAAGGAATACTATGAGTCAGCTACTCAGTTCATTTCTCAAATAATGATTGATAAAATACCATTTAACACAAATCAGTTAAGTTTTCATACATGTGTTTCAGAACATTCAACTCAATTAATAACTGCTGTGAGATTTGGAGCTTTAAATGATGTTAAATCATTCAGCCCTTTTTTTACAGATCAATTTTATTCAGTGGTTTTATGTTTTGATAGGACGTTAGTGAATTTGACCATGTTATGCTTCTAATGTTAAGAATGTGCCCTTTGAAATTAGACCAAAATAAAAAAACAGATATAGAAGAAAGAAAATAGAGGATAAGTGCAGAGTGCAGAGTATAGGAAGAACAAGTATCAGTTTTCTGAGAGATATTTTTGCTTTAGAGCAACTTGTCTGTTGTAAAATTGATATCAGCATTTGATTGATGTATACATTTATTTGGAAATTGCACACATTTTAAAAAGTTGGATGATACTGAAATTATTTTACATATAGAATTATGAATATAATATAAATATAAAATGCTGTAAATGAGGCTTACAAGGCCATGTAATTAATTGGGCTTCAATAAATTCTTTAAAAACATACACAACTTATTTAAAGTAAACCTTTTGACTTTGATTAAATGTGATTTACAAAAACAAATATATATGAAAAATATCTCCACAATTATTATACAACAAAGAGAAATGATTTTGATAAACCCAGCTGACTTTAAACAGGAATATTTTATTTTAATTTATGTGAGACAACGAGAGAGACAGTGAGAGAGAGGATATGCATCTTTTTATACAGTCAATATAAACATCTGGTTGCAAAGGTAAATGGAGGACGACATACATTCTAGATGGTTTCAGATGGTACAAATGGTTTGTTCATGGAATGATGGTAAAATGAAAGCTTAAGAACAGTCAGATGTCTGCATGGTTGATTCCTAAGTGACTGTTTTGCATTAAGGTGGCAGTGTTGGTATATTTATCCATAGATTTGTTAATGTAGTTAATCAGTGAGATTATTCCCCTGCGTTTTGAAAAAGAAATCATTGTGATAAGGAAGCACTGTAATGTAAATGTCCTTCCCTTTAATAATGTAATCATGACTTTATCCATTTCATTCTGTCCTACATCATCCAGCCCTTCAACTCAGAAAATGTGTGTTTAAGACATTGAACCAAAATATGGGGAATGCTTTAGCTTTTAAAAAAGTCATGAATACAGCACTATAATTATCTTCTACTGCAACACATACCACAGGGCCGTGCAGAGACCGCTAAAGGGGCAGGTGCTCAAAAAAAAAAAAAGGGCACATCTTATCGCATTTTAGGACAGAATATTAACAAAGTCACATAGCTTTCAGAGTTTAATGAACAATGATAAATTACAAAATTGTGAGACATACAATCAAAGCTAAGGGAAATCTCTACATATAACATAGAACTATGCATATGTAAAATATTTTATTAGTAATTTCGTTCTGCAGGTCTATTTTGTTATAGGAAAGTATTACAATATTCAAACCTGCAATTTAGCCAAAGATGTAAATCAGAGCTGGACCACCAGACATATTTTGTCTTTACAGAATTAAACTGTTAAAAATGCATACAAGGGCACAATGCAACCTTTCAGTGTACTGTAATCTATAAAAAAGAATGTCTGCCTGGTTTGCTGTACTGACAGTGGAGATGGAGACGGTCCATTCAGAAAAGCAGAGCTGCTGCATCAAACTTTAACGTGGAACTGCAGAAAAAAAAGAACAAAACAAACATTTTATTAATGCATGTCACCATGAGAAAAGCCTACTCTGTTTGTGTCTTAGTGTATTTTGTAAGTACCTATATACATTTTCTTCAATCTTTCCCCTTCGTTTTTTCTTGTCAGTTTCTCTTTTCTTTTTTTCCTCATTGTCTCATCTTTTCTGTGTTGATTGAAGGTCAATGTCTTATTTATTTCAGTCTCTTGCCTTTCTTTTTCCCCCAAACTAAATCCAAGATTATGATCCAAAAACTTATTTTCCGTCATGGTGATTTAACTGTTTAAAAACAAATTTCCAACTTTTAAGTATTTTTGCTATTTTTGTTCTCTTTTGTTCACAGCAGCAGTTTTCTGTTAGCCATGTCTTTAAAAATGTTAACCTCACTGTGAATGATTGGCACATCCTTCTCGATTGCCAACAAAAGAAGGTCTGACAACCGATCCTCCTTGCATAAGCTGCGCAGTTTTGTTTTCACCAGCTTCATACATTATATCTATCATATATCTATCATGGTAGTTCTGGATGAGTTCTCCTTTAAGATACATTTACCTAACGCTAGAATAAATGAAATTTACATCATGCAGCAAAGGAAATGAGAAAATCAGACATATATCCATTATGGAGATAATAGGTTTTTGACGGGCGATGTGCCCCTATTGCATAAGTAATACTGAAGAATGTCCTACTATCATTACCGATACAGGGAAGCTTTTTAGTTATCTTGCTTTGCTAGCAAAGTCATTAGCTAGCAGCTAGCTCATAGCACAAGAACAACAGCCTAATGTCTGTATGATAAAAATACTGAATCGATAGATAAGAACAGCTTTTCCTCACCTGGCTGTCTCCTCCCGTTCAGTAGTTCTTCAGAGAAAGGCGCGCCACGTCCTATACTTTCCTCCGTTTAAACCGCTACTCTTTGCTAAAGTAGAGAAATTATACAAAGTTCAAAGTTTTCCGTTGTCTGACAAGTAGCAAGCCTACTCCAGTATTTTCACCAAAAATTATGTTTTTTAATTCACAAAAAAACTGTTCTGTAATCATTACAGAACAGTTTTTTGTGAATTAAAAAACATAATTTTCAATGTAAAAGACTAAAAGCACAGAGTAAACAGTGTTTTAGATCAAACAATACTGCATCATCCACGGGGCTCATTTGGTTTCACTTACATCTCTATTCAGGTTGACATTGGAGAGGCGGTGCAGACTGAAGACATAGCCATCCGTCCGATCATGGTTGATCTTGCTTAGGGCCAAATGAGCAGCGGCCACAGTGTAATGTGGAATATTCGCTACCTTTAGCTCCGCAGTTAGCCGCCTTATCTGACTGAGCGAGAGGCAAGTGCGTCGTCACCGGCAAAAGGTCAAAGGTAACAATGTGACCGGAGGGCTTATTGTATTGTTTTTCTTGCCAAAAAAAAAAAAAGATAATAATAATAATTTCAGTACATGTGTCAAAAAAAAAAAAAATTAAAAAAAAAAAAAAAAAAAAAAAAAAAAAAAGGGACCAAAAGGGCACATTGGGATCATGGAGCAAAAGGGGCAGGTGCTCAAGCCCCCTTAGCCCCCCCCTCTGCACGTGCCTGACATACCATCATATACAGCCTTTGTGTCACTTGTTGTAACTCTTCCCAAGTGTTTTGTCGCTTATCCATTTCTCATTGTTCCATTTTTTTTTGTCTTCATTCTTCATCACAGAAAGGGCTAGATGGGGAGTGAAACAGTGATGGCCACCTAAGACCTTTGGGATCTTCTGTGATGTAGTCCCCTTTGTCTGCAATGTAACTCTGTAGAATAAAGCAAAATGCATTCAAATTAACCAGAGGAGTCCTCATTCATTTTGTTCACAGACGGGTAAATGTCCCGTGTTAACCTACATAATAACAATAGCATTATTTAAATTACAAAAAGGAGGTACACACAAAGCCATTTAATCTGAATTTCTTCATCTCACAACCACAAACCTAATTGTTTTTTTGGGGATATTTTTTGTAATAAGAACACAAATTAGCTCTTAACTGTAAAATGAGGAAGACTTTGAATGTTTCTTGTTACTATGATGCACATTTACTCTCAGACTCCTTAAAAAAACTGTCATACTCATTGCTTTTAGAAGTCACTGTAGATGCTGCCCATAATTGTATAATTTAATCTCTGTATGAATACAGATGTTTTTTATGACTTCTGAGGTTTTTCAGAGAATACTAGTGAATTAACAACATTACTAGGATGAAGAAATATTATGGAATGCAATAAATATAAGACATCTGCATACCTACCAACACTTGATCATTCACCAAAGCTAACAGAAAGAATAATGTTGAAAAAAATCATAAGGAGTTCCATTTGCAGTTAGGGGGAACTGACTGCAGCTAATTATTGCTGTATAATATTGGCAGAGGCGCACAAAGAGTGGGCTGAGAAATAAGTAGTTTAATTCTGCCACCATGTGTTGGAGCTGTGTATATCTTCATCCCTTATAGATATTCTATGAATGGCTCAACTGATCAGCAACTGATCAGCAATAAAACAACTGATCAGCAATATTGACAACCTATAGGAAATTGCGACAGAAATTAAAAACTTAATATAAAGCAGATAATATTAGTAGCCCCTTTCACTTAGAAAACAGAATTCACATCTCTATGTTTTCAGTTTTGCATGTTTTTTTTTTGTTAACTGAATTGGGAATTAATTAAATTTGTCTAACATACTTTTTAATTTTCTTTGTTCAATGGAAAATACCACTTTAAAAACATGACATATTTTTGTACACTTGATACCAAACCATTTTTAGAAAAGGTAAAAAATTTATAATTTTAATAGAAATATATTGGAAAACAAAATATGATTTTTTTTTACTTTTACTAGGGTTATAGTAAAAGATCATAGGCTGTAGGGAGGATCGTAAGCAGTGCCGGGTTGCACTTGAGTTTTATTTCGTTCCTCTACATACCAGTAAGTTTGACATTCAACAACAAGGTGGATGATGTTTCCAATTTAACCCAAATGTGTATCATAAAGACAGAAATAATCTCCTCACATCTAGACTCTGACAATATCTCTCAGAACCAACTTCAGTATTTGGTGTTGTCTAAATTTTACATTTAGCCATTTTGAAGAAAAATTTCAAATTTATTAAATTAAAAATTAATCTGTACAGTATGGCAGTATGTTTAGAAAATATGCATTTGCGTACTTCAGATACACCGTTTGGATTCTTAGTGATGATCATTCTCCTGTTATGCACATATCAGGTTGCAGAATAAAAAAAAATAAACGTTCATAAATAGTTAAAAATGTAAGAGTTTTAAAAAAGTACGCAAATATTGTTACAATGCAACTATTTAGTTCAAAATTTTAGGTATTAAATGTAAAAATTAGGTGACAGTGTGTATATAGGGCTGTTCAAATAAGAACATTACAGAGTCATGTAAAGAAAATAATAATAAAAAAAAGCTTGCAGTAAAACATTAAATATGATAGTAAAAGACAATTTTTGTAAGTTGGCCACATATAGGTGGTACGTAAATTCTTGTTAAGTGAATATTGCTAGATTTTTTTCAGCCTTAATTCGATAGTTAAAAAAATCCGGCACTAAGTGAAACTTTGTAATACTGACTAGGAACATTGCTTACTTAATGCAACAAATACATAAGCAAAGGTCTTTCTGTATTGAGTAACAGATTTGGGGTTAAAATATAACCTTACAAATAAATAAAATCTTAAACATAAAACGTGCACATATGCAAAAAGATAAAGAATTTATCAGAAGTAGCATCATGAATGGAGTACAATGAAGCCTACCATACCTCAGGTATCTGCAGCAGCACCAGGCGAACTGTTGGCACTCTTTGATAGGGTGAATAAAGGACTGAGGGAAGATTGATCTGAGTTGGCACCAAACGCTGACCTTTATCTCATGTGACTCCGTCCTCCACACATATTCAACCACCTAAGAGAGATAATAGGAAAACAAAAGAATCATTTCAGCCATGCAATCCAAACAACATTTTTTGCTTAATTGTCTCAGTGATTAATGATAAGAGTTGGATGATATTAGCATTGTATCACAGGCATTACTTTAATTGATTATTAAATAGAACACTAACATTTACCAAGGGTCAAAACCCTGTTTAGCTGAGAGTAAAACCTGTTTCAATCATGACGCCATCTGTTGATTCTACCAAACAACAACTGCACTGCGCATGGGAAGAGTTTTAAAACGATCGCATGAGCTAAGATTTCTAATTGGATTAAAACAGCTGAGAATGAGACTCAGTACAACAATGGGAAATCAAATTCTCAGAGACGCTAACATTTATGGAAACACTGCAAAGTATCACACTTTAACAAAGAGTTAATCTAAAAGGAATTAGAAGAAGGAATTCTTCAAACTTATTAGGAATCACATTCCAATTTGCATTTATGTACCACTTTCAGCATCAGTTTAAACTATTGACCTTTTCAATCATTCCTCAGTACTTCGATAAGCATCAAAAGAAACCATTAAAATAAATCATGCTTTTGCAATTTTGAAAGATAGAAACACATTTTGACAAAATTAACAAATGTGTATTAACTTAAAGGGTTAAATAAAAAATTAAAATATTAAACAGGATTCAAACCACGAAATGATTGCATTAAGTGATTACTTCCTTAAAGATCAGTCCTTGTAATTTAAATTGAGTTTATTCTAAATAATTTAAAGTATCTTAGTAGAAAAAAATTGCAGTTTAGTTAAGCCTGAACTTTAACCTTTTTTAAATATTTTTGGGGGAGAATTTTTCCACAATATTATTAGAAATTTACATAAAAAATACACTGAACAGTAAAGGTTATGGTCAGTGTTAGAGGGCTATAAGAGTAATAATAGCAATTGTCTTCATGGGACAGAGCATTCTTGGTGCAGTGCACCTGCTTCCTCACATCTATCATGACAGACTATAGCTCAATTTTGTTGCTGCCCTTCCAAGCTGTCCTTCAGTCGCAGGGGAAAAATCTAGAGAAGAATTTCATGGGGTTATCTTTGTCCACCAGGCCAGAGGAGATGGAACAATGGCATGATGACATGATGAGACTGAGCTGTAAACCTGTTTGGGCAGAACAGTGCTGAGTGATAATTATTATTAGATTTCACTGAAGACACCTACGATTCTTCATTTAACTCAGCAGCGAGTTTAGATACTCCTCTCCCCCCACTTTGCTGAAGTTTTGCTTTAAGATTAGGAATCTTAACCAGGTCAAATAGAACAAATATTTTCCCAAAACAAACTTTCAGACAAATTAGCCTTAATCTTGGTATTTAATCCTATTCGTCTGCCATTCATCTATTTGGGGGGAAAAAACACCTTCATAGATGACTTATATTAAAAAAGAAAAAGTGAAGTTAAGAAGTTTTTTTTTTTTTGGCACATTTTTGCTGCTGTTAACATTTTGTTATTCACACAAATTACTTTTTTAACAGAAAACAGCAAAATATATTAGCTGAAACAAAAGGGATGAAAAGTACATTATATTTTTGACTGCTATCAACTTAAGTTGGAATGAAAAACATAAACAAAATCCTATCTTTCTATCTTGACAAAATGATACATTTTAAAAGAACTATAAAAAAAATATAAAGCAGTGATAAATCTATAACAACCAAAAAGAATCATTGGAACAAAGTCACCTCTTTTGATTGAATTGAACCCCTGATGTCAACCCTGGCCCTGAACCCCACCTCTTGCCCTCCCCTTTCATTCTACCATGTATTGTCCTCGCCTTGTTAGTCACAAGGTTACAGCAACAAATAGCAGCAGTTCATCCTGCCCAATTAGGACAACGCTTTTATAATGTGCAATCTTTCTCCAAATATTTATGCCATATTTGGTGGATCAACTGACTTTATTTAAGGAGACACAGCATCTGTCAGGCCTGGCATTTTCTGGGATTACAGGTTGGGAGCAAAAGGTAAGATAGACATTTATTATATCATTCAAAGCAATTTAATTCCTTATCTGGTTGAAACCTCCAGTAAACTTCATATCTTGTACTTCTAATGACAAATAGGGATTTCTAAAAGATAATATTTAATAATTCTTTGGTTATTTTCCTCTGGTTTGCAACAGCAGTATTGACTGATCCTGATCTTCTCTTGAAGCTTAACCTGACCTAGGTAAAAACAAGTTGTGTCTACAACTGTGTTTTTATTATATAATGAACAATTTTGATAATATGAGAGAGTTATTTTTTATTTTATTGGCCTTAGAGCTCAAATATAGATTCTATTATTATTTTAAGCATCTTATCTCTATGGCTGCTACAGCAGTAGTGGTGTGTTTTCTAATATTTGTTTACTCAAACAAAGTTATCTGAAAGCAATAAATATTATTGAGATTAAATAATAAAACATCCTACTATATTTTTATTTATACAATTAAATTAAAGCATTTACAAGTCCTCTTGGAAATATTCAGCACAGATGAATATTTTCGTCCTAATCTAAACATGTTTACCTTCATACCAGGTAAAAACATGGGTGATGCTGCCATGGCAGAGTTTGGGGCTGCTGCTCCTTATCTAAGGAAATCTGATAAGGAGCGTCTGGAGGCCCAGACTCGTCCCTTTGATATGAAGAGAGAGTGTTTTGTACCTGATCCAGAGGTCGAGTACGTAAAAGCAACCATCCAAAGTCGCGACGGTGACAAAGTCACTGCTGAGACTGAATTTGGAAAGGTAAGAGAATTGTATTGTGTATTAAGAGGTTTGAGTTAAAAGATGTTGCATCATGTGCAGATGTTGCAGATGTTTTCTGTCTAGGTGGAGTTTAAAACAAAGCTGTTGTTTTTTTCTACAGACTGTCACCGTGAAAGACTGTGATGTGCATCCTCAGAACCCACCTAAGTTTGATAAAATTGAAGACATGGCGATGTTCACCTTCCTCCATGAGCCAGCTGTGCTGTTTAACCTCAAAGAGCGTTACGCAGCATGGATGATCTATGTGAGAATGCTAAACTTTAAGATGTAGAAAAATCAGACTCATTAATTCCATGTATGACATTATTCTATGTTGTTATTACCCTTTTACTCACAGACCTACTCTGGGCTGTTCTGTGTGACTGTCAACCCCTACAAGTGGCTGCCAGTCTACAACCAGGAGGTGGTCGTTGCCTACAGAGGAAAGAAGAGGAGTGAAGCTCCTCCTCACATCTTCTCCATCTCTGATAATGCCTATCAGTACATGCTGGCAGGTACAGAAATCTCTCTTGTTTCACCTTGTGATATATTTTTTTTCTAATACTGTAATATTTTACTACATAATCTCTTATTGGTAGATCGAGAGAACCAGTCAATCCTCATCACGTAAGTTACACTCTGAGCTAAAGTTTGTTTAGTTTTCATAGGTTGTAGAACAAGGCCTGAAACCTTTTTTCGTATCTTTGACTCAGCGGAGAATCTGGAGCTGGAAAGACTGTAAACACCAAACGTGTCATTCAGTACTTTGCCAGCATTGCTGCTGTGCCCACTGGGAAAAAAGATGCTGCAAGTGAAAAGAAGGTTTGTTATCCAAAGGAAAAAAGAAGATCACAGTTCTACAAGAAATAGAACTGGTATCATATAAACCAACAAAGGATTTCAAAAACTATATATAGACATAAACTTTTGCATACACTCAGTATAGTTATTTGTATATTATATTAAAATAATCCACTAACTAAATGTCATGTATGTTTATCTTTATGTTCTCCTTTAAATCTGACACTTTGGTTTTGTTCGCTGGCATCAGGGTACCCTGGAGGATCAAATCATTCAGGCCAACCCTGCTCTGGAGGCCTTTGGCAATGCCAAGACCATCAGGAATGACAACTCCTCCAGATTTGTAAGTAACTGTTGTTCTAGAAAAAGTCATTTCTGAGATTAAGTCAATGAACTAAACTTAGTTTTTCTTTTAGGGTAAATTCATTAGAATTCACTTTGACAACAGAGGGAAGCTAGCCTCTGCAGACATTGAAACCTGTAAGTAACTAAATGTATTTTACATATTTCAAAGGAGTCTGGTTTCATCCTAGCCTTGAATAATAAGTTATTTTCTTAACAGATCTTCTGGAAAAGTCACGCGTCACCTTCCAGCTCAAAGCTGAGAGGGATTATCATATTTTTTACCAGATCTTGTCTCAGGCAAAGCCTGAGCTTCTGGGTATGTACAAAGTTAATGCAAAATAACTTTGTTCATTTAACAATGAATTTACATTATAAAATTGTAGAAATGTCGCTCATCACCAACAACCCTTATGATTAAGATGTGTAAACCTAACTCAAAAGGTTTTCTCTTTCTGTTTTTACACATATTCACATTCATCAAATTTCCAGAGATGTTGCTCATCACCAACAACCCCTACGATTACGCCTTCATCTCCCAAGGGGAGACAACAGTGGCTTCTATCAATGACTCTGAAGAGCTGATGGCTACTGATGTGAGCCGCCTCCATGAATTATAGCAGCAAAAAATATTAAAAATCAAACCAATGGTTACTAAATAAACATCAAAATGCCATGTTTGATCAGGATGCCTTTGATGTGCTGGGCTTCACTCAAGAAGAGAAGAACAGCATCTACAAAATGACCGGTGCCATTATGCACTTTGGAAACATGAAGTTTAAGCAGAAGCAGAGAGAGGAGCAGGCAGAAGCTGATGGAACCGAAGGTAAGAAATTACTTTTTTGAACAGTTTAAAGTCTGTAACAAACATTGTGCTGAAAGTGGTGTGATTATTATCACTAATTCTCCAAAGATGCTGACAAAGCAGCTTATCTGATGGGGCTGAACTCTGCTGACCTCATCAAAGGTCTCTGTCACCCAAGAGTCAAAGTAGGGAATGAGTGGGTCACCAAGGGACAAAATGTTGCTCAGGTAATGATATTTATATATATATTATGTGAAAACAGCATTAAAAAATATGTTTTGACAGTCTTCTTTATAATTTCCTTAAGGTGTACTATGCCATCGGTGCACTCTCTAAATCAGTTTATGAGAAGATGTTCCTGTGGATGGTGATGAGGATTAATCAGTCTCTTGACACCAAGCAGCCCCGCCAGTACTTCATTGGAGTGCTGGACATTGCTGGATTTGAGATTTTTGATGTGAGTTTAGATAGGAGAAAGACACCTTTCATGTTAGGAGTTCAGCATTAATTGCTCTTTGTTTTAATTAATTTTATAAGATAGCATGTGTGATTTACATCTCAGCAGTAACAAACTTTCTGAGTATTTTAAGAAAAAAAAAAAGTTCAATAATACTTAACATCTTTCCAGTTCAACACCTTTGAGCAGCTGTGCATCAACTTCACCAATGAAAAACTGCAACAGTTTTTCAACCACCACATGTTTGTGCTGGAGCAGGAAGAGTACAAGAAAGAGGGGATTGAATGGACTTTTATTGACTTTGGTATGGATCTACAGGCCTGTATTGACCTGATTGAGAAGGTGAGAAAACAGATTATTAAATAAATGGAAAAGCAAATATTCTGACTTCAATCACTCATGTTATAATTTTAGCCCATGGGTATCATGTCCATCCTTGAAGAGGAGTGCATGTTTCCCAAAGCCTCTGATGCTACATTTAAAGCTAAGCTTTATGACAATCATCTGGGGAAATCCAACAACTTCCAGAAACCAAGGATTGTTAAAGGAAAACCAGAGGCCCATTTTGCCCTGGTTCATTATGCTGGGACTGTTGATTATAATATCAACAACTGGTTGGTGAAGAACAAGGACCCTCTGAATGAGACCGTAGTTGGGCTGTACCAGAAGTCTACTGTTAAGCTCTTGGCATTGCTTTTTGCAAATTATGCAGGAGCAGAATCAGGTATGTATTTACTCAGAAATTAGTGAGTCACTTTAAAATATTATATTATTATGTGTTTGTGCATGTGTGTGGTCATGTTCTTGTTACCCTGTGGGGACAAATTTGCAGAAATATGCTACATTTTGAGGACTTATAAATTCTCTGTGTAGGCTTGGGTTAGTTTTAGGACTAGGATGTGAATTGTGTTTAGGCTACATTTAGGGTTAGGTATGTGTGGGTTATGTTTAGGGTAGGGGTCAAGGTTAGGCCATAGAAATGAATGCAATATGGATTGAGGTCAATAGAAAGTCTCCATAAGGATTGTGTGACAAAACCTGTGTGTGTGTGTGTTCTCTGTGTCGACCATTTTCTAGAAAAATGGGCATGTTGTGTGGCCCGATGCCTGGACCCAGTGCATGGAATTCTTATATTAGGGTCAGGGCTCAAGTTTACGACTAAAGTGTGAATTGAGTTTAGGGTTAGGTATGAACTCTAACCTTATATAATGCATAGGAATAGGGTAACGGTCAAAGTTAGGCAATGGAAATGGGTTAGAAATAAATACAATGGAAAGTTCCTGCAAAGATAGAGAAATGTGTTTTGTGTAGTGTGTGTGTGTTGGGAGGGGAGGAATGTTGAGGATTTACAGCTTCAAAAAAAGAAATTGATTTAGAATAAAATTATCCACATTTGTTCACTTTGCAAGCCAAGGTTTTGTTGATCAGTTTCAACTATGAAACATTTTTCTTAGCTAACTGGCCAAGCATAAATAGTTTAGGTTAATTATTGCATAGTAATGATAAAATCTAACTAAAGTTTATCTTTCTTACTCCAAAACATCTGCATCTACATGACAAATTGCTTGGCACCAGTAGCTGTTCTTTTATTTTTTTCAGTGGCTCAGCATTCCCAATTTAAGCCAATAGTTTGAGAACTTGCTTTGAAATCTGAAGGAAAAAAGTCTAACAAAGACCCAAATCTGAGCTTATTAATATTTATAATGGAGGGGTAGCTAATATGTATGACATGGAGGAAATGGACTAAGGATTAAAAAGATGAGATCAAAAGATCAGTTTTTATCTTTATGATGTTACTTGTTTTTGTGTCGGGTAAGCTGTCATTTGAAAATAATATAGGTGCATATGAATTTTTAAAAATCATTTATTTTATTCTAAACTGTATGACTTTTCTCAGCTCAGGAAAGTGGAGGGAAAGGCAAAGGTGGAAGCAAGAAGAAAGGCTCATCTTTCCAAACTGTATCTGCCCTGCACAGGGTATGATTATAGTAATTTGATAGTCTAATATCTAAACAGCATAATATAGTTGGCTTTGAGAGATGCATTTATAATAGCAATCCATTTGTGCCTTTAGGAGAACCTGAATAAATTGATGACCAACCTGAGGTCTACCCACCCTCACTTTGTGCGCTGCATCATCCCCAACGAGACCAAGACTCCTGGGGCCATGGAGAACCCTCTGGTGATGCACCAGCTGCGCTGTAACGGTGTGCTGGAAGGCATCAGGATCTGTAGGAAAGGCTTCCCCAACAGGATCCTCTATGGAGACTTCAAGCAGAGGTTTGTTTTAGATTACCACTCATATCTAGTAGTATATATACTCATATCTAGAAGTAATAGTTTTAGCCTTTGTCAAAAAGATTGCATTTTGATCCACATTCACATAACAAACTCAAAATGTCACTTTGTGTTAGATGAAACTAACAAATTGTTTTGCAGAAAGATGTGTTTAAATAAAATAGCTGGTATATTTCAAAATGAATTATTAAAAAAAAAACCCAACTCTTTCTTCCTGCTTATATACCTTTTAGACTGAATAAAGCTTCAAGAATATATATATTTTTCTTATAGATTTGTTGTTCAATTTAAAATCATTTGTAATAAGGTTAAGAACATACTTAGAATGCCATTAAACAAATGTCACTATATTAGGTTAAACATTTGGTTCAAACAGCACATCACAAGTAATATTTGTCTCTATTAAAGATACCGGATCTTAAACCCAAGTGCAATACCCGAGGGACAATTCATTGATAACAAGAAGGCTTCAGAGAAGCTTCTAGGTTCCCTAGATATTGATCATAGCCAGTACAAACTGGGTCACACCAAGGTAAGTAAATCTTTGCTGAATAAATATTTTTCAGATAACTGGGAAAGAGAACCTTCTATGATGAAACTTCTTTATCATGCAGGAAATAATTCTGATAATTTTGTTTCTGTTCAAATGCAATAATGATGGTTTACATGAGATTAAATGTTACTTGAGCATATTTCCACAGATTTTTTGACAAAATATTATTTGTCTATGTTTGAAACAATTTAGGTGTTTTTTAAAGCTGGGCTTCTAGGTTTGCTAGAGGAAATGAGGGATGACCGCCTCGCTCTCATTATAACCAGGATCCAGGCAAGATCCAGAGGTGTTCTTGCAAGAATAGAATTCCAGAAAATTGTCGAACGAAGGTGATTAAATAACATAAATACTTTGTGTTAAAATTTATTTCAAGTCAACTGATGAAACAAACCTTAAAAAGTTACCCCATATATTAGGGTTAAACAAAGTACCTAAGTTGCAGGGTGTCAGCCAAAGGCTAACTGAAATACAAAACAGCATTTAAGTGTCATGTTTATTCAAACTGTTGCACACAGGGATGCACTACTTGTGATCCAGTGGAACATCCGAGCCTTCATGGGGGTCAAGAACTGGCCGTGGATGAAGTTGTACTTCAAGATCAAACCTCTGCTAAAATCAGCTGAGACTGAGAAGGAGATGGCCAACATGAAGGAAGAGTTTACCAAACTCAAGGAGGCTTATGCAAAGTCAGAGGCCCGAAGGAAGGAACTAGAGGAGAAAATGGTCTCTCTTCTCCAAGAGAAGAACGACCTGCAGCTCCAAGTCCAAACTGTATGTTAAAACCACTATGTTCATTGTATTAACGTAATCTATGAAAACTAAATTGATTGACAGATATATTGATCTTTTTGAAAAAGGAGCAAGATAATCTCTCTGATGCTGAGGAAAGATGTGAGGGGCTGATCAAGAGTAAGATTCAACTGGAAGCTAAAATCAAAGAGCTGACAGAAAGACTGGAAGATGAGGAAGAGATGAATTCTGAGCTGACTGCTAAGAAGAGGAAGCTGGAAGACGAGTGCTCTGAGCTGAAGAAGGATATTGATGACCTAGAGCTTACTCTAGCAAAGGTGGAGAAGGAGAAGCATGCTACTGAGAACAAGGTACCACGGATACAATCAATACATCAAAAAGACATTATCACAGCTAATGCCACAGGTTCACACCACATATCTCCTTTGGCTTTAGGTCAAGAACCTGACAGAGGAGATGGCCGCTTTGGACGAAATCATTGCCAAGCTGACCAAGGAAAAGAAAGCTTTACAGGAAGCTCATCAACAAACCCTGGATGACCTGCAGAGTGAAGAAGACAAAGTCAACACTCTGACCAAGGCCAAGGCGAAGCTGGAGCAGCAAGTGGATGATGTACGCTCTACAACGTTAAGCTTATTGCAAGATGTACAATGTTTATTTGACTAAAAGTCATCTCTCGCTTGATGCTCTTCAGCTCGAAGGATCCTTAGAACAAGAGAAGAAAATACGAATGGACCTTGAAAGAGCCAAGAGAAAGCTTGAAGGAGACTTAAAGTTGGCCCAGGAAAGTATCATGGACCTGGAAAATGACAAGCAGCAACTCGAAGAGCGAATGAAAAAGTAAATAGTTAATATTGAAAACACTAGCTATTCCTAAAGTAGGCATTCTTTTATCACATTGAACATTTTATCATCCATAGGAAAGATTTTGAAATAAGCCAACTCCATGGGAAAATAGAGGATGAACAAGCCATGAGTGCCCAACTCCAGAAGAAACTAAAGGAGCTGCAGGTGACCATTCCCACAAGGCATAATATGCTGAGGAAGAATATGCATGATTTTAAAAGGACTATTAGAACATTGAACTTCTAAAACATTCACTCTCAATTTGTGCTAGGCCCGCATAGAAGAGCTGGAGGAAGAGCTTGAAGCAGAACGAGCTGCTCGAGCCAAGGTGGAGAAGCAGAGAGCAGACTTGGCCAGAGAGTTGGAGGAGATCAGTGAGAGGCTGGAGGAGGCTGGTGGAGCCACGGCTGCCCAGATCGAGATGAATAAGAAGAGGGAGGCCAAGTTCCAGAAGCTCCGCAGAGACCTTGAAGAGGCCACTCTGCAGCATGAATCCACTACTGCCACACTCAGGAAGAAACAAGCTGACACTGTTGCTGACCTGGGGGAGCAGATAGACAACCTGCAGAGAGTCAAGCAGAAACTGGAGAAGGAGAAGAGTGAGCTCAAACTGGAGCTGGACGATGTGGTCTCCAATATGGAGCAGATTGTCAAGTCCAAGGTAAAGTGTATGTGAATGTTATGTGTGGTTTGGAGGTTTTCTTGCCCTTGAGGGATTAAATAACTTCCTAATTTGGTCCCGTGATGATTCCTTTTCTTTCAGAACAATTTGGAGAAAATGTGTCGCTCACTTGAAGATCAGCTAAATGAATATAAAACCAAATCAGAGGAGGGACAGCGTACCATCAATGACTTCACCATGCAGAAAGCAAAGCTTCAAACTGAAAATGGTATGCACCTCTAATACATTCTCACTCACAACTCATCTAATATTGACACTTGGTGAAGTCCCTATTACATATTTGATGCAAGGGGGGTACAGTCATGTACATGTATACGTCCGTCCGTCCGTCCGTCCGTCCATCCGTCCATCCATCCATCCATCCATCCATCTTCTTCCACTTTTCAGGGGTTGGGTCACAGGCTCTTCAATAGGGAGGCCCAGACGTCCCTCTCCGCAGACACTTGGTCCAGCTCCTCCGGGGGAACCCCAAGGTGCTCCCAGGCCAGTCAAGAAACATACTGTAGTCCCTCCAGCATGCCCTGGGTCTCTCTCTGGGTACCTCTCCAGGTGGGACATGCCTGGAACCCCTTACCAGTCAGGCATCCGGAAGGCATCTTAACCAGATGCCAGAGCCACCTCAACTGGTTCCTCACAACGTAGACGTAGAGGATCAGTGGCTCTACTATGATTCCTCCCCGGATGACTGAGCTACTCACCCTATCTCTAAGGGAGAGCCCAGACACACTGTGGAGAAATAATTTTGGCCGCTTGTGTCCGGGATCTCGTTCTTTAGGTCATGAGCTTTCGGTCATGATACATTGTCTGCAACCCGTGATTTATGCTGGGATCAAAATATGACGAAAAGGGTACCTGCGTTACTTTAGTATGTGATGCGTAGGGAGCTTTGACCAAAAGCATCAATATTTGAGAAGTTGGGAATGTGTTGCAAGCCCATCAACTTAACCTCTTGGAAGCCGTACTTTTTGATTACCTATTTGAAGTCTCAATGTTTGATTAATTTTTAAATCAGGGGAACTAATAAGGCAGCTTGAGGAAAAGGATTCCTTGGTGTCTCAGCTCACCAGAGGAAAACAGTCGTACACACAACAAATCGAAGACCTGAAAAGACAACTGGAAGAGGAAATTAAGGTAACCGTTATCAGTAAGGCAACATCAAATAGTAATCAGTTATTGATAGCTGCAAAATACATTTCTTTTTTTAGGCCAAGAATGCATTAGCCCATGCTGTGCAGTCTTCCCGCCATGACTGTGACCTCCTCAGGGAGCAGTATGAGGAGGAGCAGGAGGCCAAGGCAGAACTGCAGCGTAGCATGTCCAAGGCCAACTCTGAGGTGGCTCAGTGGAGAACCAAGTATGAAACTGATGCCATCCAAAGAACTGAGGAACTGGAGGAAGCTAAGTGAGTAAAGCCCATTTGAATCTATATGACTCTGCAAAGTCTGAAAACAACCAATCCTAATGAAACCCTTCATTAATACAGGAAGAAGCTGGCTCAGCGTCTGCAGGATGCCGAGGAGGCTGTTGAAGCAGTGAATGCTAAATGTTCCTCTCTGGAGAAGACCAAACACAGGCTGCAGAATGAGATTGAAGATCTCATGGTGGATGTGGAAAGGTCTAATGCTGCTGCTGCTGCTCTGGACAAGAAGCAAAGGAACTTTGACAAGGTTGGAATGCAGGGAGGCCTGGGAGAGTTTACCACAGTAACTGATTAAATGGCTAAAATGTGCATTATTTTTCAGGTCTTGTCAGAATGGAAGCAGAAGTATGAAGAGTCTCAGTCAGAGCTGGAGAGTGCTCAGAAAGAAGCAAGATCTCTGAGCACTGAGCTCTTTAAACTTAAAAACTCCTATGAAGAGTCTCTTGAGCATCTAGAGACCATGAAGAGGGAGAATAAGAACCTTCAAGGTCAGTTGTTTATCAAGAAAATCTCACATTCAAAGTTGAATTTCAAACTGGCATTAAGTGATTGTTCCAATAATGTCTTCAGAGGAAATATCTGACCTTACTGAACAAATTGGTGAGGGTGGAAAGAATATCCATGAGCTAGAGAAGATACGGAAGCAGCTGGAACAAGAAAAGTCTGAGATACAGACAGCTTTAGAGGAGGCAGAGGTATACTGTATATAAAAAAAACTT